AAAAATTTAAAGCAATTTGGCGAAATAAAATGACTGGCAATTGTTGAACAACTCGATTTTGAAAATTCAGTTCATCCACAAAGGAACCAAATCATAAAAATCCAAATTGAAATCCTTTTAAACGAACAAAATTTGTGAACGAACAAAATTTTCAGAGCCAATTTTTTTTTTTAACGATTGCTACGAAGTTTATTCTGCAAATCCCTTAAAACAATTTTTTGCTCATGTCTAGTCGTCACTGATCTATCCAACATTATCTAACTCAAGAGTAGGTCAGCAATGGCTCTCCAGCAAACGAGGTTGTCGCTAATTAGATATCTGCACATGTGTGTAATTGTGTATATGTGTGAGTGCGTAGGTAATGAGTGCGTGTGGTTAATTAAGATGTATGGGTTAGGAGGTTAATTAAGCATCACCAGGGACCCAAAATTATTTTATGCTTTGGGATTCCCATCTCTCTTTTTCACCCCTCTGTGCTAATTTATTGTCTCAATATTCAATGTTCAGGCAAATATATCAAGCCAAACAGATCAAGCCATGTCTTTCAAGTAAAATACAGCCCATGCATTAAAGTCAAGTTTAGAGCCAGATTCCAATTAAGGTTAAGCTGTGATAAAAACTGGACTTCCTTGCCCAACTGACTGTCTGTGCCTCAGTCTATTTCCATTTAAGTTGTACTAGCAGTCAAGAGCTATTAGAATTTAGTAAGTGGTACTGATCCAGTTCCTGACATTAATTTGACTGTGTCTACCCTAGCCAAGTCTCGTCAAAGTCATGCTGCCATATACCTCTAGACATATGGGCACTTATGAAGATGAAGGGTCTACTGTCATGTCTATAAAAGTATCAAAGATTCAATGTAAAATAAGTCTAGACCAAGATAATTGCACAGTGAAATGTTCTTTGGACAGTTTATATCAGGCACTCTGGATGAGATTTCTAAAATAAATTTAAAATAAAAGTTGGGCAATTACTGTGCAAGTTAACGGAATGTTAATGCTGACTCCTTTGGTATCTGTGTTGATTGCTCCACATTATCAAATTTGCCCCACTTGTCTGTGAGCAACACTTTTATGAATCTCCCCTTATTTCCTAAACTTTATTTCCATGGCTGTTTATCTTTTACAGTAAATGCCACTAGCTGAGCTATTTATACAGCAATAGATAAATCTAGTGAAGGAGCTGACCAGAATATGAAACCACTGAAAATAAAGTATGAAACTGCTCCCCGAGTGGTAAGCGAAGAACGCTAACCAATTCAATTGCATGAATCCATAGAGTATTTTCTCTTAAGATGATTCCATTTTATGGATAAATGTATTCCTGTCAAAACCACTGGATTTTTTATTTGGAAAATGCTGCAATTGTAAATCACAAAATGAAATACAGTCAAGTCAATATTGTGTTGTGAGAATATCTGTATTCAAATTCTAAATACATAGATAACAGGATCAAGAATGGCTGTTATGTAGGAACGTAATGCAAGTTTATATTTTTAATTAAATATACAATTCTCTCTCTCTCTCTCTCTCTCTCTCTCTCTCTCTCTCTCTCTCTCTCTCTCTCTCTCTCTCTCTCTCTCTCTCTCTCTCTCTCTCTCTCTCTCTATATATATATCTATATATATATATATATATATATATATATATATATATATATATATATATATATATATATAAAAATTGAGAATAATCTTGCACTCCACCTTCTTAATTAATATAATGCCCGGTGCTTGTCAGCCAAAATACAAAAACAGTTTCCAAAGATAGCACTCCAGGGACTTGAAAAAAGTTCGCTTTAATTACCTTCCAAACATCCAAAATGTCAACGTTTCAGCCCAATAACCTTAGGCTTTCATCAGGACATAATGTGTATACAGATAAACCCACATTTATACCATAACATAAGTAATAACTCACCACACTTGTGAAGTGACTGACTCCATGGACGCCCGGACCGGGACTGCCGCCGGCTGACCGACGCACGTCACGCGGCCAAAGGTCGTCACCATAGCAACCTAACAAAACAAATGTGATATAACACACTACTCTAATTATAAAAACAATGTATCCACTATCTTGCGCTATTTTCATGGGGATATAACCTTTACATTATTTCTACAGTATATAAATCTAACCATTATATTATTTACAGCATGTTTAATATATAAATTAAACTGAACGGCTGAATAAGCCATCGGCTGAGTTAACCATAGCTACCAATAACTCCGAATTTATACAATTAGGCTTGTCAAACTAACCAAATAAAGATCCTATCAGAATCACACGGGAAAAAAGTCAGTTTCAAGGACATAGATATAGATATAAACATGAGGCTTACCTAATCCAAAAATATCCCTTGTGTATCTCCATATTAACACATTAATTTACTAGAAAAATATCCAAAATTACCACTCACATCATGATTACAATGAAAACAAACCCTTTTAAAGATAGGGGAGTGGAGATGGGATTTTTTAGATATGTTTAAACAAATTTTTTTTTCAAAACTATCCCATAACAATTCTATCAACCCAAGTTGCCACGGGTCAATGAGAGGTGACACCTTCACGTAGATGGACAGCCAATGTTCTCAAAATTAATGACCAAAGGAGATAAGTATACATTGTGGCCAGAGAAGTATAAACCTGTATGCCTATCCCCCAGGGTGGGCATAACATAGTTCTTCTCATTGCCATCGCTGTAAAAACAAATGTATTACTTATAAAAATGCAGACAGAGAATATTTTTCATTAAGACCTTCTGGATATACTGTTCTCAATGTTCTAATCCAAAACAGTTCTCGTTGTAACAACAACTTCTTGCGGTCGCCTCCCCTACGAAGAGGAGGTATGTGGTCAATTGCCATCCGTTTTAAAGTTGGGAGCATGTGTCCTTTCTCCAAAAAGTGTTTGGCCACAGGTAAGTCCGATTTCTGGTCTCTGTATGCCACCCTTATACTAGATCTATGATTGCGAATCCGTTCGCGCAAGGGTAGATCCGTCTTGCCAATATACGTGAGTCCACAAGGGCAGGTTAGCTTGTAGATTACAAAATCAGTGGTACAAGTTAAACGGTGTCTAATAATGTATTTCTTCCCTGTATGGGGATGGGTAAACGATTTGCCAGATAGCATGTGCCCACAAGTGACACAGCCCAGGCATTTATAACAACCCAAGTTGACAAAATTTTGTTTACCCTCATAGCAATGTATAGGGTCCGTCTTCACTAACAGATCCTTCAAATTTTTATTTCTCCTATAGCACATCATGGGCGGTTGACGAAATATTTCGGGTAAAGACATGTCATTCCTCAAAAACCTCCAATTTTTCTCAATCATTTGCTTAAATTGTGGAGAAGCTGTGGTGTATGTTGTTGGAAAGACCAATTTCTTTCTCGATGAAGCTTCCAAATTGGCTTGTGATAGATAGCACTTATCAAGCGCTTTACGTAGCACACACTCACTGTAGCCACGTTGTTGGAACTTTTTCCACATAAGGCCCAATTGTTCCTCGGCCTTAGCCGGGTCTGAGTTGTTTCTCATGACCCTAAGAAATTGAGAATATGGTAGAGAATGTTTGAGAGCATTTGGATGAAAACTATTTGCTTGAAGTAGAGTATTGCGATCAGTTGTTTTTGTAAAGAGCGTATATGCCAACTTATTGCCTTCCCGTATGATCCGTACATCTAGGAAGTCCACTGTAAGCGGGTCCATTGTCATGGTTAACTGTACATTCAATGTACATGAATTAATATACTGGACCATAGATTCTGCAGTACTGTTATCTCCCTTAATGATCATAAAAATGTCGTCGATGTAACGACCGTATGATAAAATGATGTCATTAAAAGGTTCCAATATATGTTGGGTTTCAAATTCAAACATGTATCCATTTGCATACATCAGGGCCATAGCCGCCCCCATAGATGTACCTGCTGACTGTCTGTACCACTCAAGTTCAAATCAAAAATAATTTTGTGTCAACACCAATTCCAAAATTTCCATGACATATTCAATTGGAGGTCCCATATACTTGTCTGAAGAAACAAGAATTCGTTTCATAGCCTGAACCCCCCCTGTATGGGGTATGATCGTATACAAACTCTTCACGTCGCAAGTGACTAGTGTTATCAGGCCAGTTGGTAAGGATACTGTGGAAATCATTTTCAGGAAGCTTGGAGTATCCTTAATGTATGTTGGTAAGCTTTCAATTGATTTCTTAAATAGGATATCCAACCACTTTGCCAGTGGTTCTAAAATGCCCCCTACAGCCGACACAATTGGTCTCCCCGGGGGGTCCTGAAGATTTTTATGGATCTTGGGGAGTGTATAGATCACTGGGGTTCTTGGGTTGGATTGATGTAAGAATTCCCACAGGTCCCTATCAATGAACTTTTCTTCCAGACCCCTTAGTAGAACTGCATCTATCAGGAGCTTGACTTGAGGTGTCGGGTCACAACTTAATTTTGAATAAGTGTGGAAATCCGATAGTTGTTGTAATATTTCTAATCTATATTTCACATAGTCTTGAATAACATATATATATATATATCCTTTACAGGACTTACTGTGTTGATGGTATTTCCTGTGCATACGCGTTTTTAGTCTTAGCTCCAGTTTGCTTTAGAAGAGAGGTCCTATAGGTAGTCTATGGTGGTCTAAGGGGAGTAGGAGATCTGTATCTTCTGTAGGTAGAACCCTCGCAACTTCATCTCATCTGCATCCATGGGCGTCCGCAGGGGGGGGCAAAGGGGGGGACTTGCCCCCCCCCCCCTGGATTTTTCAGCTTGTTCTGCTATTTTTCATGTGAGATTTAAAATGAACTGCAATAGATTTGGGGGGGGGGGGAGGAGATAGCCTATAGATTAGGGTGTGCACCCTAAAGCACAAACACACGCCATGTGTATGTGTGTGTGTATATATATACACACACACACACTGCTGTGTGTGAGGGTGCTGTTAGTGTGCTGTTTGTGAGGGAACTGGTAGTGTGCTGTGTGTGTGAGAGGGTGTTTGTGTGTGCGTGTTTGTTCGGGTCCTGTTAGTGTGCTGTTTGTGTGCGGGTGTTGTGTGTTTGTCAAGGTGCTGTTTGTATGAGAGTGTGCTGTTTGTGTGTGGGTGCTGTGCGGGTGTTGTGTGTGGGTTTTGTGTGTTTGTGAGGATGCTGTTAGTGTGCTGGGTGTGTGTGGGTGTTGTATGTGTGTGGGTGCTGTGTGTGCGAGGGTAATGCCTGTGTGTAGGTGCTGTTTGTGGACTGTGTGTGCTGTATGTGTGTGTGCTTTATGTTTGGGTGGAGGTGGGGGCAGATTAGTTAATATCCCAGTCCTGCTGCCTTCCCTGGTGGTTCAGTGGAGAGTAAACTCTAGCACGGGTTCTCTGCTGCCTCCCTCCATGCTGCTGTGGACCGGTGAGGTAGAACTTTGATCTCCCCACCAGCCCATGGAGGCTTAGACCAGAGCCGCCGCTCAGATAGCGTCGGCTCTGCATGAGCCGACCGGGGAGATCCAGAGATCTCCCCTGCCGGTCTCAATCCATTGGCGTGCCGCGGGGAATAGGGTGTGCCCAGGCACACCCGACACATCCCGTGCGCACGCCTATGGAAGTGAGGGATGGGGGAGACAGCCTATATGAAGAGTCAGCAAGGAGCAGGAAGGTAAGAAAAGGAGAAGGAACAGAAGTGAGTAGGAAGGGACATCAAGGAGCAGAAAGGGGCAGCAAGGAGCTGGAAGGGACAGCAAGGAGCACAAAAGGTAAAGTAGGAGAAGGAGCACAAAGGAACAGAAATGAACAGGAAGGGTCAGCAAGGAGCTGGAAGGTAAAGCAGCACAAAGGTAAAGTAGAAGGAGCAGAAAGGGTCAGAAATGAGCTGGAAGGGGCAGAAGGAGCACAAAGGTAAAGTAGGAGAATGAGCTGGAAGGGCCTGCAAGGAGCAGGAAGGGCCTGCAAGGAGCAGGAAGGGGCAGCAAGGAGCAGAAAGGGGCAGCAAGGAGCAGAAAGGTAAAGGAGCAGAAAGAACCAGAAGGAGCACAAAGGTAAAGTAGGAGATAGGGACAGCAAGGAGCACAAAGGTAAAGTAGAAAAGGGAGCAGACAGGGTCTGCAGGGAGCAGAAAGGGATCAGAATGAGAAAGGAGCAGAAGGGCGCAAAATAAGCAGAAAGTAGCAGAAAGGTAAAATAGCAGAAGGGGTCAAGGATAGAAAACAGTGTCAAAAGAAAAAAAAAAGACTGCCAAATGAAGGAGAGGAAAAGGAGATTGGAGCATGAAGGACAAATGAAGTGAACCCTCCACTTTATTCTGGACACCACATCATAAGGCTTTGGTACCTGGGCCAGGCAGGGAAATGCTGGACCTTCTCATCTCCAAAGGTAAAAAAATATCAGTATTAATGTGTTCACTTTTATTTACTGAGTGTCAGGAAGCACAGAGTGCCGTTGGGTAGGGGTGTTGCTGATTGGCTAGAGTGCTCAGCTGGCACTCTAAGCCAGTCAGTAGCTCCCCATTCATAAAAAAATAAAAATATTTTATGAACCGGGAACTAGCGATTGGCTTAGAGCGTCAACTGTCCACTCTAGCCAATCAGCGGCACCCATGCCTGACGTCAATCTGCACTTCCTGACACTCTGTTTCAGAAGCCAAATACCACTGAACGACCTGGAGCTGGAGGAAGCCTTTGGGGTTAAATCATTTGAGAGCGATTTAACCCCTTAAAGGAAAGTGAGCACCCAGGGGCTTCCTGGCATCATAGCATTTTCATTTAGGTGACGTTGTTATGGTGACCAGAAAGGTCCTTTAATTTGCTTAAAGGAACACTATAGTGTCAGGAATACAAACATATATTCCTGACACCATAATTGTGAAAACGCTATTCACCCTGGCTTTATGTGATAATGGCTATGCCCCTTCCCTTTCATGACACTGTCAAAAAGGTACCAAGCATGGATGTCATTACAATTATGACCCCCCCCTGGAAAAATTCCTGCGGACGCCCATGTCTGCATCTACTCTGCTTTGTCACAGGTAGAGGAGTCAATATATTCTGTTATATCTCGGTGCTCTACTTGTGATTGAGTGTGTGCTGAGTGTCAAGCACAAGCCCCTAATGAAAGTTTAGATGGGTTTGCATAGATTGAAGTGTTCTCTGCCTTGATTGAAGCTTGGGTGGATTGCCAATAAATTAGTAAGACACTATGAAGCAGCATATCAATCCATGATGAATTGTAAAATGGGGATAACAAGGAAAAAGCTGGTTAGGGAGCAAACATAACATGCACGATTCCAATGTACACAGCTAAAGAATATGAAACTGCAAAGATGGTAAGTGGATTTTTACAACACTTTGTAGTAGACTTCTTAATTAAGTTCTAGCTTATAGTCTCAAACTATTATTGTTGGATAAACCTTCCAAACTATTCAATGTTTTTGGAAACCCATGCTATATGCAGCTACGCATGTAAATACTCACAAACAGCACTGAGTTTATTTAGCCCGTTTAAGTTTTATATATATATATATATTTTTTTTCCCTTTGTCTAGATTTTCTTTTTGGCTAGCTAATTACAGAAGGATCCTACATTCTAGACATATCTTACTCACATGACTTATTATATACATAAAAATTATGCACGTATTCTTAATGCCATTACAATGTTTTATTATGCTTGTTATTGAAAAGCTTGTCTCGCTGTAGTGGTGTTGCAAGCTAATTTGCACTTTCTCTACACAACGAAAAATAAAGATTGACAAAAAAAATAATAATATATATTTTTGGAGAAACTTTGTATATTTTTTTTGAACATTCTAGAATATCAAAAAAATATGTGAATAAGTAAAACAATATGTCAATCTATAAAAAGTATTAAATATTCAAATATTTTTCAAAACATTAAATCATTTTAAAAATATTAAATAATTTGAAAAATGTATCCAAAAATATTAAATCGAATCCTACATTAGTGCCATTCAAGCTATATTCTGTAGTCATGGCAACTTAGAGCCTCCTTGAATCAAGTTCACAAATTCCCAGATTTTGTTATTAACATGATGTAAAGTCATGGTTTTTATTAATGTCATGGAGACTCCTATAATGCTAGTTTAAAGCTGAGCAACAACTTTTTTAGAATTCAGTGGTTCCAGCTAAATAAGTTCCTACATTACTGCTGTGACCAAGTGCCATAGTTTGGGAGAGTGGGTGTATATTCTATGGGGAATATTTAATCATTTTTAAAATAAAATTCTTCATTTAATTCACTGATTATGAAATACACTAAGTACCTTCAACTGGTTAAATGTTCTGCATCCAAAATGAATATCCATATGGATAACACCATCCAAACAGTTCAGCATTTATACCTCTATGACCCCTTTAATGCATTTTAAGAATTATAAAGTCTGGTGTACCCTCACCATTATCTGGGCTGAGGGCCAAAATGGGCTACCTGTAAATCACAGGATATTGTGATCTGGATGCCTTCATTCTACCTGAAATGTCTGTCAGAGACATGAAGCTTAGTCCCTTATAAATAGACTTGACCCAAATTCTGATATTTTTCTCAGCTATATTTGAAGTGCTAAATATGCAGATGAAGCTGTATTATTCTGCAAACTGTCCGTTCTTGGATCTACAAAATGTCAAGCAATATAAATTCTGTTTCAGGGAAAAAAACATCAGTGTATCCGGAATACATTGACTACGGTTTCAGCATTGTGAACTGGTATATCTCACCACCGTATACTGAGTGTTTACGGCTGATTTCGCAAAATCCTGAAACACTAAATGCAAGAGTAAAGTAAAGCGAACCCATGATATCACATACCTGCCAAGTGCCCCACTTTAAGAAGAGCAGTCCTGTTTTCATCCATTTTCCTTCACGTTGGCCCTCTTTTAGTCAACATATTTAAGGTATACAAGTAAGCCACCGAGTTTCATAACAATGTAATCCTAAAAATGTGTCCTAAAACTCTTTATCACCAAGCAATGTGTTTAAAACAATACCACTGGAATACATTTTTTTATGTAAAAATGATTTTGTTTTTGAATCTCAAATTTACTTTTGTATATAGTTACATGTGAAGAAGGCCTCAGTTTTATGGACTTGGTTCGACTGTTTTGTTCTCCCCCCCCCCCCTTAGAACACCAGTTTAAACCCTTAATAAATGTCATATATTCAAACACTGTCTGACCCTTATAACTGTCATTTTGTTTTTCCTCAGAGCAGGAGTGGTTTTACTGCATGGATACTGTTGCTTTGTGTGCCCAGCATTAAGCCTCGGCTCATGTGTGGAGGGTTATGCTATGCTTGTGTCTACACCCTGCCTGGAAGGATTATTCCCTAACTACTAGGAGAAAGGGAACCCAAGACGGTCAGAGAGGGTTGGACCGTCACATTAACTTTGGTTCTTTTTTCAGCACTCTTGATACGTATTAGCTATATCGAGCTGACATACTCGGCAGCTTTATGTGAACGTTCATTTATTTACTTTATTGCTTCACTATGATTACTGTACTTTGTATCAAATAGCTATCCCTGATTGGGTTAAGGACATTGTTTCCAATCGGTGATTAACACTAGATTTAGTCTCTAACTGTAGTAGCCTTCTACAATTTCAACTACAATCCTATTGACAGTTTTATGAGATGAGGTGTTAATATTTCCAATTGGATCCTAAATGGTACAGGTAGCCAATAGAAGGATTAGCAGAAGTGTGAGAGGTGTGATGAGAGAAAAATAAGCCTGGCACTCATTATGGACTGTTGAGAGGCAGTATGGTTTCTTCAGAGCATTACATTAGCCTGTTTGTTGAGTGTGCTGGTGGAGATCCAGTAACACACAGAGCAGCATGTTGGAGCTCCAGTGTCGCGCTAAACACAGTCACATTCTAGAAGGAAAACCTACCAGCTCTGCTTCTTGTATTTATTCTTTGAGTGGAGCGGCTCTTCTGCTGTGCTGTAAGCCGCCCAGGTATAACAAGGGAATACGTTTACATTTTTCTTTTTTTGCAATAAACAAATTTTGTTGGCAAGGGTGTCAATACATATACATATATCAGAGAATGGAGTAGTTTCACCTTGGAAAAATCTTACCCAACATTTAGCATATATAATACAAGCCATCATTCTTAAACTAAGAACTAATATGCTCTATAAAATGCAGAGTGTATAATAGGTAACAAGGAAATAATTGGAGCCAGATGTACATGAGGCAGAGGAGCCTGTCCTGTAGGG